ATCATTTTACTTTTAACTTATTTTTGTCATATTTAAAGGGTGTTTGTTGTTTAAAAGAACCCACAGAAAAAAACATATAGTTAGTTGGGCCTTGCTTTTAAAAATTTAATCTGACAATCTCTACCTTTTAATTAATTTATTTAGACTACTTTCCTTTAGACATGACTATTGATAATCTTGTTGCTTTTCTTCGAACATTCCAGGGGCCCCCCTGGCCTCTGGTTACCTTTTTGTCTGTTACCCAGAATTTAGATCACTAGTCCAAAAGATAGAGTACTAACAAGGAATTTAATACTAGAAGGACAACTACTCTAGCTGTTCCTGACAGACACAAACTATTAAAACTGACTCAGAAAATATTGAAAATTTCAATAGACCTGAAACAAGTAAAGACATTTGACCACTAATAAAAAAACCTAAATAGACAAAGCAATCTTAAGGGGAAAAAAGCTATAAGCGCCCCACTCTCTGAATTTCAAACTGTATTACAAAACTATTTTAATCAAAATAGTTTGGCATTGGCATAAAAAGACACAGTGAGAATGGAATAGGATAATCAGATATAAGCCTATGTACTTACAGTCATCCACTGTGAAAAAGGAGACAAGAATATAAATGGGGAAAAGATAGTCTCTTTAATAAATGGAGTTGGGAAAACTGAACAGGCACAAGCAAAAGAATGAAACTGGACCACTGTCTTACCCAATAAACAAAAATTAACTCATAATGGAGTAAAGACTTGAACATATGACCTGAAACTATAAAAATTTAGAAAGAAATGTAGGCCGTAATTTCCTTAATATTTATCTTGGCAATGATTTTTTGGATCTGACTCCAAAAACAAAGGCAGCAAAAGCAAAAGCAAACAAGTGGAACTACATCAGACTAAAAAGATTCTACACAACAAAGCATGCCATCAACAAAATTAAAAGGTGGGAGGTGAAACAGGAATAGACAAGGCTTCCTGAGTGCAGTGTGTAGAGCAAGAATAGAAGATAGCTGCATTCAGGAGGTCACTGGGGAACACTGCCATTTAAGGAGAAGAGTGAGGAAGGGGAATCTATAATAGAGACTCAAACTGTCAGAAGAGTAGGAAGAAAATCAAAATAATATGATAAAATCAAACACATGGCTGAAGCCATGCCAAAAGCTGGAGGGTGATCAAGTACAACAAAGAGTACCAATATCAATTAGATACTGTATTTGCAGAAGGTAATTGATAACCTAAGTACAGATTCTTACAGTTGAGTTTTATGAGCTCAAATCAGATGTGTAAAAAGTGAAAATATAAAGACAGACAATAGAGTGACAACCAATTCTTCAGTTGCCTCATTTTTAAAAATAATTTCAACATCATTTCTATGAATTTATCTACTACTAATAATGAGAATTAACTATATACTTTAAATATATCTTTTTATATAAAGTTCTGAGAATTTCCTTTCGTCTTCTTGTATATGTTAGTTATCCTTCAAAAATAGTAAAAACTTCTTAACAGATGGTAACATAAAAATCTATGAAAAAAGAAATAGAAAAACTAATCTGTGTAAGTTTAATAATTATATTTTTATATAGCTGTATTTCATATCAAGGCATGCCTAAAGATTTCATTTTTAGAATTTAGTTTCTAGGGACTGAGCCCATATAAATTAACAAGAGGTGATTTTTTAAAGATATAACAAAATTTTCTCATTTTATTTTAAGGCAGTGCTACAAAATGCATCTTATTCCATTTTACAAAAGCCAATATCCTAAAATACTCAGATCAAAGTGCCGAGTTGTGTTATTGTGTTTCCTAATTTTTGAAAACTAATAAAAACAATATTACAGCAGCTCATGAAGATTTTGCTCTGATTTTTCCTCTCTGGAAATGAGATTATGGGGGCTATGACAAACTTGAAATCTCAGACTTTACAATAATTACCCAAAGGGTCATCTGGAGGACATAAACATGTCTGATAATTTGAAAGTGGAATTTCTTTATTGAAAGATCACCAAACTGGGATTATATGGATTTCCTCTGCAAAAGATAAACTCATCAGGTTAAGAAATACTTTAAAGTATTTTAAAGAAATATTTTAAAGTTATTTTTAAAATCCATTGTTAATTGTCTTTCAGGTTTAGAGTTTCAATGTGGATAGTGAAAATCTTCAAGTCTCAGAAAAATAAATAATTTCCACATCTTGGCCATGGAAAGAAATCTGAAGCAGTGAGTGGTTCTCAACTTGATGAAAAACCCTCACAGTAACTTGAAAAATCCCTAGTAGCTCATGTGGGTTGAAAAGAAAACTTCTTTTCTTGTCCAACAGCTCCAACCACTACCCCTCAGTGATGACTTAAAAGTCTTTGCTTTTTACTTTGTTATGTGTTTTCCCTTCAACTAAAACATCTCCCTGTGTCTTGTTCACTTTCCTCTGGTTTTATTTATTGGTATTCATCAAGGCCCAGGCAATAACATCTACTCTGTTAGTTTAGTAGGCTTACTTATATACAACATAGAATATAAGCTGTTTTATATGGTAGGTGTTTGCACACTTATTTCTAGTTAAATTGTAAGCTCTAGAAGACAAGAAAACTAACTTATGCGCCTGTGTTGCCCAGCATGATCCCTAGCATATGGTTGTCACTGTATAAATGTTTGTTCATTCCAGTTATACTTCACATATTCAAAATGAGTGAAGCTAAGATGTGAAAAAATTCTCTCTTCTCCCCAAAATATTAAAGACCAAACAAATGGGTCAGATTCCCTCTTTTGAGGTTCTGGTCATCCAGCGTTCAGAGTTCATCTAGGTTCAACCAGAAGCAGTTATGTACACACAGTGGCTGAAAGCTTATCCTACAAAAAATAAGACTGGCACTGGCAAAATATTAACTTTCCAAGAAATTTCTTTCATTTCTAAGATACAGTTCTTTGAATTTTTTGATTTGCTGATAATAGAAGCATTTTTATGGGGTTAGTAATTGGTCAATTAACTGATAATGTTTAAAGCAGAAGGAAAGTAAAGAAGTATATAGTCACTGCAATTTAAAACATACAAACAATAATTCACCAATATTTTTTGAAAAAAGGCCTCTTCTTTGACTATGAATCTGATGTTTGGGTCGTATTGTTCCTTTCTAGCATAAATCACCCCAGTACATTATTTACTGTTCACAATGCTTATTCTTTAAATAGTAGTGAAACTATAAAGAGTGTTTTTTGAAGTCTGTCTAGTTTTTAAGTTTATTGACCACCCCAATATATTACAACTTACTCACTTTTCCCTAGGTTAGCAGCTTGTTTTAGTCACTTACTGTTATGGAGTCTTATTAAAGTAATCAATATAGACTTTATACAAATAAATATCCTTTTGTTTTGTCCTGATAATCATTTTATTTATGAATTAGTTTCATTATATAAAATGATAGTAATGGGCATAATTTGGGGGCAAATACAACTGCTTCTAGGAAGTAGCAATTGCACTGGTTGGAGCAAAGGTGTTTGAAGCACATTAGAGAGAGAGGCAGTACCTTCACCGCCAGTGCTAGTCTGGTAGTACTCACTACGTCTGCACAGGGAGTGGAGAGTAACTGTTAATCTCGTGAGCTAGTTCAATGGTGAGTAAAGAGATCTTTTGTTGCACTTTTATTTGATACTAATGTCTTTCTGACATCGTTACACAGAAAAATCGAGGATGTTAGAATTAAATAACGTCATCCTGTGTGTTAGCTGAAGGAAAATGGAGTTAAAGATGTGAGGTGGGGGATATATAAAAATCTGCAAGAAAATAATTTTCTATAATAGTTGTGTTAATTCAAAGAGAGTTATCCAAGGTCTACATATAGAGAAACATAATATAATACATCTGGACTATTTCAGGTGTATTTGTTTCATTCCTAGATTTATAATTATTTTTATGAAGACTTGTGATGAATACTTCATAAAATGTTAAAAGAATGAGATGGAGTAGGGAATAGAAAAGTTAGGGAAATGAATTCATTTTTGCTTTGTGAAAATTGATTAAAAATACCCTTATAGTGTTATAAGTCATTCATGGTTATTTATTCAAGTAACAATTTTGTAATACAAAATATGAGAATGAAAGTAGGAGTTAAAATCAGCTAAGAATATTCTGAAGGTGTAATTAAGGAAAGTGGGTGGATGGATCACTGTAGTAAGGTTAAATTTCACCTTATCATGGTCTTTAGAGACAGAACAGTTCTTAGATATTATCTAATTCATCTCAACCCTGATATTCAAGTCATCTATATAAGAAAATAACCAAAAATGTTAAAAATTACTGCATTTCTTATAGGCCATCCCAACCCTCTTTCCTAATGCAGTGCCCTTATTCAATTACCCTAGCTTTTAAATGCCCCACTTATATCATTTTTATTTTGGTAGTGTAATCAAATGACTATTGAGGGGGTCATATAAAATGATTTTCTCAAAATACCATTTATAACATTTTACTGTAAAGGAATTAACTGATTCAAGCAAGTTTTTGACCATGTAATATTATAAAATATAACTACTCACTCTTTCAGGACTATTTTTTTTTGATCCTTCAGAAAGCCTGGTTGAGTACCGCTGCCTATGGATCTTTCTACAATCCCGAGAATTTTTCTTGAAATATTAAGACATATTCAAAGAATTTTATTCTATATAAATCTATTTAATCAGTTGTGTGTAATATAGGATATTTGTTCTGTTATTGGAAGATAAAGCATAATGAAGCTAAATGAAAATAAAAGCAATACTGTTTCTGTTTTTCTTCATGTTAAAACTCTTCACATGGAAAAAGCCAAAGGGGGTGGGTTTAAGGGTAGGAGGTAGGGATGGGTGAGCTGCGGGGACATGGTAGGGTGAAAATAGAGACAAATGTACTTGAACAACAATTAAAAAAAACTCTGCATAAGTAGATTTTGATGGGTTTAAACGTCACCTAGAAAAATAAAATATTTTAGAATTTTAGTGATTTTTAGATTTCCCTTAATATTTTAATGTTTTGCTTTTCCAGGGTTTTGAAAGTGTTTCTTTCACGAACAGCCCAAAGGATTCCATATATGACTGGTGGACGAGTTATGAGGATGCTGGCAGTAATACTTCTGGTAGTATTTTGGTTTCTTGTTGGCTGGACTTCGTCTGTTTGCCAGAATTTGGAGAGGCAGATTTCTCTTATTGGCCAAGGGCAAACATCTGATCACCTCATCTTCAATATGTGCCTCATTGAACGCTGGGATTACATGACAGCAGTTGGTATGTGATCACTTGTTTTTGTGTGATTGTCCTTTTTCCATTTGCATTAAAATAGGCCTTTTTAGAAAACTTGTCAAATCCTTATACAAAGCCTAAAGGCATATTACCTAATATGGTTTTGGTAAAACAATATTATGAAAAGGACAGTAATTATATGTGGAATGAAAACTTTTTCTGAAAGTTTCCATTTCTTTTCAAAGGTATTTAGCTTTGTTGTGAAAATGTAGTCAAATAAATCAGGAAGTAGACATGCAGTTAATAAAGGCAACTTCCTTGTATAGAAAGACTTTCTGCTTTCCATCTTATCAATGTGTTTCCTTTTGATTAATAGTAGTAATTCTCTTGAGTTATTTCTTTAGCTGGGAGAAAAAAGGGAACATGGTGGTATTTTTTATGTAGTTTTGGTCCTGTGACATAGCTGACCTGGTACTGAGGGGACTCTTTGTATAGACATTTCTCTGCAAAAACTCTAATCTGTCTTCCTCTGAAGATAAATTATTAGGAATTATCTGGAGGTCCAGTAGTACACACACAAAAAAAAAGCCAGGCTACTCGGAGGTGGTAAGAGTTATGTGACTGAGAGCTGGAGAACTTGGAAGAACCACATGATGGCTCAGGCCAAAAACATAGAATATTTTCCTGATACCTCAGTTTTTTGAAAAATGTAGAAGAAAAACCCATAGGAGTTTTTGTGTGGCTGATAGTAGGGTGTTTTAAGCTAAGCCTCTAAAGACCAAAAAAAAATGTAAACAAACCTTTATCATTTTGTTGTTATTCCCTTTAGTAAGTCATAGGGCAAATCTTAATTTTATTTGGCATATGTCAAAAATAAATATATGCATCTAATTCCTATTTTCTGTTTCTCTCATATTTGGCAATTGTTGATTGAATATTCATGTTTAATATTTTGCTAGAAGCTAATAAAATGTGTATTTAGTTTATAATTTAACTAGAATAATATTTTTCTGGGCAGGATAGTTTAGGAATCTTATAGGCCTGATATCTATAAAAATAAAGCAATATAGGGAATAGTAATAATGACACTATATGAAGCCAATCATCAAAGAAGGTTATCAGTAGATCCATATCAATAAATACCAATATATATAGCAGAAGACAAAGCACAGAACTAAGGTAAGAAGCAAGTCTTATTTTGGCTTTAGTCTGGATATTAAAATTAAACAAATTAGATAGATATAAAATTTCCATTCAGTAAAAAACTCTAACATTATTTGACATTCTTCAACCCAAATTAGCTAAACTAGGAAAAATCACTTCCCTGTGTTACTATGAAGAAAAGCCCACTATATTTCTTTTCTGTTTTACAAAGACTATAATAATGAAAATACATGATGAGGTATCATTGGGTAGGGAATAAACAAGTGGGAAGCATGGCCTTACTCACTTAGCATTTTTTGCATTTTGAACACACTGATTTTGAGATATATACAAGGCCTTTTAAAAATTTATCTTATATTCCGTAAAAGATCATGTCTGTGATTTCTATGTAGAAATAAATAGAAATATATAACTTACAGTAATCTACAATTAAGTTTGTATAAAATTTCTTTATATAATGTGAGAATGTATGCAATAGACAAGATCTACTGAGAGCCTATAGTATCTTTAGTACTATGTTGAACACTTTGCCAGAAATGTAAAATGTATAAAAGCCTTATTTCTATTGATTAGCTTACTACTGGTTTATGTAGATAAATGAGAATTATTAAGAATTATTTTTAAAAACTGTGTGGTAAAGACTCTTGGGACAATAGTTTTGCAATAAAGGAAAACAGCAGTTTGGACCAGAACCCAGGAATCTTTATAAAAGAGAAGTTCTTTGAGCCATGAGTGATATTTAGATCTGTGAATTTCACCCTTTTTTTATCTCATGGCACACATAAACTAACCACTAAAATTCTGCAGCACACCAAAATATATACTATATATTTAGCCTATGTGACAAAAAATATATTTAATTTTGATTCATTCACACCAGAGAGCTATTGTTGTGTTGGCTGTTGTCGTTTTTTGACAATCTAAAGAAAAAGAGTTCAGTGCCCCTGACTAAATGGTTAAATGTGTTGCATGATTTACTTATTTGACATTGATAATAGGATTATGTCCGTTTCAATGTATATTTCTATGATACATGGTCTGCATATTGTATTCTGTGTCTGACACCCAAAGTCAAATCATTTTCTGTCCCCATATGTTTGGCCCCCTTTATACTTTACTAACCCCATTCCCTTCTCTCTGGTAACCACCATACTGTTGCCTGTGTCTATGAGTTTCAATTTTATAATTCACATATAACTGCAATAATATGGTTCTTAGCTTTTTCTGACTGACTTCTTTTGCTTAGCATAATATTCTCAAGTTTTATCCATGTCATAAAGCAGAATTTCATCTCTCCTTGTAGCTGAGTAATATTCCAAATATTCCATTGTATAACTGTGCCACATCTTCTTTATCCAATCTCTATCAAAGGATACTTTGTCTTCATGTTTTTGCCACTGTGAATAATGCTGCAATGAAGACAGGAGTGCATATATCTTTGTGAATAAATGTTTTTAAGCTTTGCAGATAGATACCCAGAAGAGGGATTACTGGGTCATATGGTAGTTCTATTCCTAATTTTTTCAGAAACTGCCATACTGCTTTCCATAGTGGCTGCGACAGTTTACACTGCCACCAGCAGTGACTGTCCCCTTTCCTTCACAACTGCTCCAACACTTGTTATCACTTGTCCCATGAAAACAGCCATTCTAACAGGTGTGAGATGGTATCTCCTTGTAATTTTCATTTGCATTTCCCTAATAGTTAGTGAAGTTGAACATCTTTTCATATACCTGTTGGCCCTTTGCATGTATTCTTGGGAGAGATGCCTGTTTGGGTCCTTTGCCCATTTTTTAATTGGATTGTTAGTTTGGTATTGAGTCACATGCATTTTTCACATATTTTGAATACTAACAACTTGTTAGAGCTGTTGTTTTACAATACCATCTCCCATTCAGTTGGTTGCCTTTTTGTTTTGTTGTCAGTTTCTTCTGCTTTGCAGAAGCTTTTTAGTTTGATATAGGCCCATTCATTTATCGTTAAAACACTCAGTGAAATAGGTAGAGAAGGAAAGTTCCTCAACACAATAAAGGCCATATATGACCTTTATCATACTAGGTGGTGAAGTACTGAAGCATTTCCTCTAAAACTAGGAGCAAGACAAGGATGCCCGCTCTCACCAATCTTATTCAACATAGCTCCCGAAGTCCTTGTCAGAGCATTAGACAAGAGAAAGAAATAAAAGGCATTCAAACTGGCAAGGAAAAAATAAAAGTGTCATTTTTGCAGATGACATAATTCTGTATATAGAAAACCCTGAATATACTACCAATAAAATTACTAGAAACAATAAATACAGTAAAGTTGCAGCATACAAAAATCAATGTACAAAAATCCACTACTTTCCTATATACTAAGAATGAAACTTCAGAAAAAGAAATGAAAAAAATTCTTTTCCAATTGCAATCAAAAGAATAAAATACCTAATAGTAAACTTAGCAAAGGATGTAAAGGACCTATATAGTGAAAACTACAAAGCATTATTAAAAGAGATTGAAAAAGACACAATAAAATGGAAAGATATTCTATGTTCATGGATTGGAAAAATCAACATAGTTAAAATGGCCCTATTACCCAAAGCAGTATACAGATTTAATGCTATCCCCATCAAAATCCCAATGTCATTTTTTAAAGAAATAAAACAAAAAAATCAGATTTGTATGGAACCACAAAAGACCCAGAATAGCAAAAGCAATCCTGAGAATAAAGAATGAAGCTGTAGGTATCACACTACCTGACTTAAAACTGTACTACAGAGCTACAATCATCAAAACAGCATGTTGGTGGCAGAAAAACAGACACACTGACCAATGGAACAGAACTGAGAGCCCAGAAATAGAACCACATGTATATGGGCAAATAATTTCGACAAAGGAGCCAAAAGCACATAATGGAGAAAAGAAAGCCTCTTCAATTGATGGTTCTAGGAAAATTGGAAAGCCACATGCAAAAGAATGAAACTTGATTATAGCTTGTCCCCATGTACAAAAAATTAATTCAAAATGGATCAAAGACTTAAATATAAGATCTGAAATAATAAATTATGTAGAAGAAAACGTAGGTACTAAACTTACAGATCTTGGCTGTAGAGAATATTTTATGAATTTGACCCAAAGGCAAGGGAAGTAAAGGCATATTTCCAAAATTCTTGCAGCACACAAGTTGGAAATGGTTGATTTGAACTATTGTAAAGAGTCTATAGCCATACCACCCTGAACACACCCAATCTCATCTGAATTACTGTAAAGATATGTAGAAAACATTCCCTTTAATAGGTATAGTGGTGGAGGTGGGTGGCGATTTTGTGAACCATGAAGGAAACACATAACTGGAAAAGAGGATTGTGTTGAAATACATTGTGAATAATGATGAATGCTTAAGTTTGTTGTGAGTCTTGCAAATTCTGTTATAGGAATTCAGAAAATGAGGAAAGTGATGTGATGAATCAGGAAGTTCAATCTAGATTGCTTTTAGAGTATATATATATATATACATATATATAGTGAATATGTTATACTCACTCAATATATACTAATAAATTATATGTAAATATATATATATAGAATATGTTATGCTATTATTAAGTGAAATGTACCAAATTTAGGGACTTGGGGTTTGGACTCATTAGAATGGAGATAGATGGCCCTGGCTGGTGTAGCTCAATGGATTGAGCACGGGCCTGCGAACCAGACGACTACAGTTCAATTCCCGGTCAGGGCACATACCTGAGTTGCAGGCCGGTTCCCAGCAGGGGAACCATGATATGCAACCATACATTGATATTTTTCTCCCTCTCTCCTTCTCTTCCCCTCTAAAGATAAATAAATAAAATCTTAAAAAAAAAGAATGAAGATGTAGAGCAACGGTTCTCAAAGTGTGGT